GAATAACTAATGAAAGTATCACTAAGTGCTGTGCTGGGTGTGAAACTTGGGTTGAAAGATGTAAACATTTGTATTAAGTATGTGAATAATTCTAGTTTCATACCAACTTTTTCTGCAAGTGGTAGTGTAACACTAAGTTTTAATTTCACATCTTTTTCTCACGTATGCCAAATGCTATATTTGGATCATAGCTTCCATAAATATTTGGGGAAAAAAAGTTTTAGAAAACAGCTGTAAGGGCTAGGGAGATAGCTCAGTGGACTAAGCTCCTGCTTAGGCAAGCACAGGGACCGGGTACGATCCCTGGCATCACAAGCCCTGCCAATCCCGCCCCTGGGCACGCTGAGCTGACCACTGAGACCTGGCGTGGTGGCACAAATCTAATCCCAGCACTGGGGAGGCTGAAAACAGGAAGATCACTGCAAGTCAGAGGCTGCATAGTAAGACTATACCAAATACATTAAAAACAAACAAAAGCCCAGCTATAGTTAATAAGGATTTGGTTTAAATATATAGAAAATGGCTGCAATGTAGATCAGACTCTTAGAAATATGCAAATAAAACAGCTGTGCATAGGAATACTTGAAGATGTATGTATGTTGCCCAAGCTGGTATCGAACTCCCACCTGCTCCCTTCTCATGTACCACCAAGCCTGACTTTTAAAAATTTTAATAAATGGTGAAAGCATAAACCTATGATTTCAAGAGAAGTATAGACAGGAAGACAAATTTTCAAGTAAGGGTCATTCCAAAAATCTAGTGAAATCTGGGCAACTTTTAGATTGCTTTAAACGGTATCGGCTTTATCGACGTGTTTTGGGTAGTGGTGCTGGGGATAGAAGTCAGGGCTTCCTGCATGCTAGATACGCTTTGTACCACTGAGCTACATCCCTGCTCCCTTCCCCTTTAAACTTCCTCATAGTTGTACAAGTGCTACCAGAAATAGTACCAAGTAAGTGCTGGTCATATATTAGCTACTAATAATTAGAACTTTCTGTGTTGAGTTTTTGTGTTTCTCACAATAACACTGAGATAGACACCATTTTATGGGTAGAACTTAAAGGATTAGAGAATAGTTTGTTGCTAATAAAGGAGTTAGATAGAAATCAGAGCCTTTGCTTTGAAATCAAGGTGGAAATAATGACCAGAAACTTAAAAGGAGAACTGAAAAAGTTGTCAATGGTAATAGTGAAATATGAGTTAGAAAAAGAAACTGTAGAGGAAAAAAAAGGAAACTTTGTAGTGGTTTTAGAAATGTAAATTTATGTATTGGAAATGATGCGAGTATCCATTAATGCCTTATTTAATCATTTGAAGTAGTTTGTTTGCAACTCTAGGAGGCATTGTATAGAGCTAGTGATAAAGTCTACATTATATAAATTTTCAATTTAAAAAGGTGAACCCAGGCACTGAATTGTTGATAAAGGTTTGGAATACATAGCAAAGCTATGTGTAAGCCCGCTTATCAGTTGCTGTAAGTCTAGGTGAACAGCTTCCTTCTTTACCTTTAAAAGTAAACAGAAGGAGCTTGTGATCACTCACTCATCTGCTCTTTGTTTAGTGCCTGCAGTGTAGATATTATCCTGTATCTTATGAAAGATAAAGAGAGAAAATGTATGAGTCTGTCAACTTTTGGAAGCTATTGATCTAAAGGAAAGAAAACCAAAGCATTGCAAGGACAGTTTTCTCTAATACTAATTTCTTTCTTTTTTCTCTTTTCCATTTTCGATTTTTTTTCTCAGAGTCTCAATCTCATGGTGATCCTACTGCCCCAGTCTCCCAAGTGCTGGGAATACAGGGGTTAGCCACCATGTCTGGCCTTCTAATGCCAATTTCTTTATTTTTTAAATTTTTATTTATTTTTTTGCGGAACCAGGGATTGAACTCTGGCCCTTGTGCTTGCCAGGGAAGTGTTTATTTTACTGAGCTATCTCCCTGGCCCTCTAATGCCAATTTTTAAACATAGAATTCCTTAGAAAAATTTGATATATATTACTACCTTATTCATATCATTGATGTTAATCCTGGGCAGGTGAGATCTTTGCATGTTTCCTATCTTGATCATTTTCTACTTTTTAAAAAAATTTATTTGGTATAGGGTCTCACTACACAGCTCAGACTCGTAGTGATGCACCTGTTTTCAGCCTCCCCAGCGCTGGGATTACAGATGTGTGACATCACGTGGCATCTCAGTGGCTGGCTCAGCGTGCCCAGGGTTGGGCCAGCAATCAAACCCTGGTTCCCGTGCTTGCCTAACCAGGTGCTTAGTTTGCTGAGCTGTCTAGCTGGCCTTTGAATTGTTTTTTATTATGAGTGAATTTTCCAAATACTTTGAAAATTTTTAAAAATGATGCTAAAAGTATTTACCATTTCATTTTTGCTGTCTCTAAACTTTCATATTGGTAAAATAATTTCCCATTATAGTTAATAGAAAGTATACTTATGTGTTAATTTGAAAATGACCACATTTTCCTGTTTCATTTTTGAAGTTATTCTGATCTTTATAATCAATGACCACTTTTTTCCCCCTCTACTTTAGGGTATAAATCTTCTTGCTGTTATGCTTTCACGCTGTAGTCTGAATCAACCTGAATTTTAAACAGAAGGTGAGCCTCTGATGTCAGTGAATATAGCAGTTGGTATTGCCTGATGTTTTCTGTTCATTCATTCATTCATTATTTCTCTATTAGCCTTAATTAAAATTGTAATTGAAGTTATTTTTCTCATATTTCAGATTTAGAGGTTTGTAAAAGTTGTAGTTGGGAAATGGGAGAAAGGAAGAAGAAATACTGAAGAGAGATTAGAAAAAGGAGTATATTTAGCTTGGAACTGATACCCAGTTCCATCTGTTGACCACACTTGTGGTACAGCATTGTGTCTCTTTTGCCATATTCTAATGAAGCTGTTGTAATAGACTATGTTGCTGCAGCTAGAAGATGAGTACATTTGACTTATAAGTAAATCAAGGTAACAAAGAAAGACACTTCTAATTCAAGGACTTCTTCAGTTAAGAAATCCCCCATCTGCCACTGATATACTGTTTCAATAATCAGAGAATGCTTTGAAGACTGTAGTTGAAAACTCTTAAAAGTCTGAATAGCAATAGCCCATGTTCCAGTAGAGTGCTTCTGTGTACTTTCTTTTTATCTGACTTCCTTGCTTTTTGTGAATTTGTAATACTAAAGTTAGCTTTTCTCTTGTTTTTAGAATAAAGGACCAATTTAACAAGATTTATTTAATGAACATTTATTGAATGCTGCTTGTATATTAAGACTTGAGATACAGAAATAAAGAAACAGCCAGAGAGGGAAGAGAATTGAAAGCTGAGCCAGTAGTGAAACCATGACTCAAAGTTTTCAAGGGCTGGGAATGTAGCTCAGCATGAAGGCACTAAGTTCAGTCCCCAGTACTGCTGAAAAAGATACCATATCCCGCTTAGAGAGAGAGAGAGAGAGAGAGAGAGAGAGAGAGAGTGTGTGTGTGTGTGTGTGTGTGTCTCCCTGGCTCATCAATAGGGTTATGTATCAGTGTTTTGTAAGCACAAAGGTATCAGACTTAGGGGAATTAAAAAATTTTCTTCTTTAAAAAAAGTTCAGCCTTGTTTATAAGAAGGAGGCTAGTACCCTTCTTTTCATGCTATGTAACAGCTCTTGTAGACTATCTCACTGGCTTTCTATGGTTATTTATTCTAAAGTTATTTATCATGTTCCTTTACCATCTCTTTGTTTTTATATATATATTGGAAGTTCAATTGGATTCAGCAAAACATTTTTGGGGAGCTCTTGAGCAGGGGTTGTGTCAGTAATCAAACTCGGGACCTGTGCTTGTTAGCCAGCGTCCGTGCCGCTGCACTAAGTCCCAGGCCTGGGGAGAATATTTATAGTGGTTCTGGGAACATAGTACTGTATCATAGATACCACATAATCCATGGGGTCATATTTTGGAAGCCTTTGAATCTCTAATTTATTATCAACTTTTATTTAAGATTTCCTGAATCAATTATTTAGGGTTGGCAATATTGCATTTATTAGCTAGAATTAGGTAGTACCTTGGTTCATGAACTTAATTTGTTTCATAATTCTGGAAAAGATGGGTGGTTGTGTTCCTTACCCAGTGCAGTTTGCAAACAAGAACACAATTTTGCGAAATGCTTTTGTTTGTAACCGAAATTGTTGACAAACAAAAGTGTTTGTGAACTGAGGTACCACTATACATATAAGGAAGAGCTTTCTTCATCAGCTAGAGCAATTTGGTTGTTCTTTTAAAGGGTTCTTGGTTGGGAGAGAGTAAATCACTGTTTTCTTGTAATCTTTAAAACAGATTTTCAGATTCATAGCTAATTTGATTAGAACTATACTTGCCATCAAGCTCTTGACATTGTTATCTGTCACTTAGTTGCATATGCCCAGGTTTATTTGCTTGCAGCTGACCAAAGGCAATTTATTTTGGTAAAAAGGAAAGAGGATTTATTCAGAAGTAGCTTTAGGGAAATGGAGGGGCCTTATCACCCAAGTCACCATCTCACAAAGTATGGTGTTGCAGGAACAGTGTGGGGGAGGTATACAGTGAGACAGTAGCTACACAGTAGTAAGGCTTATTTCATACCTTCCCAGACCCAGACTCCTTCCATTCTTTCCTGTGGAAATAAAACTGGACTTAGACTTTTTGGTGCTAACATCTGTATAATTTCTGACCATTTTATTGGGGTTGAGGAGAGGTGGGGTGGCAGTTTGTATTGCTAGGCCTGAGAAAGTTTGGAGAAGCCATTTATCTTATGGTAAAATATCTTAAGTTTTGAAGTTTCATTTTGCTTTGTTGATCACAACATGAGTGTATTATAGTTGTTTCTGCCAACCTATTGAGCAAAATTTTAGAGCTCTCGTCATATTAGTGTATCATATAATAATTTCTGATATGTGAGGTTGGAAATTGAAATTGTACTATAATTTTTAAACTTTAATTTATTAAAGATAGAAAATCAATATATTTTTAAAGAAAAGATGTGGGATCAAGGAGGACAGCCTTGGCAACAGTGGCCCTTGAACCAGCAACAATGGATGCAGTCATTCCAGCACCAGCAGGATCCAAGTAAGGAAAGTGAATTGGGAAGAGGGTGGGGATTGGGTATATGCTTTGGAAGCCGACAGCGGACTAAGTACCCACTTAGGCAAGTGCAGAGATCAGGGTTTGATCCCCAGCACTACATTCCGAACTAGCCCTGCCCCCGGATACACCGAGCCAGCAAACAAGTCCGGGCTTGGTGGCACATGTCTGGAATCCCAGCACTGGGGAGACTGAAAGCAGGAGGATCACTAGGAGTCGGAACTGCGTGTTGAGATCCTTTACCATTTTATATAAGTGATATGGAAGCTGTTAGACGATGGAATTAGGATTGGTATGTTGCATGCTTGCATAGTAAGAATGTAATCCTCTCCATAAGTAGTCTTGCCATACAGAGCTGTATAGTGAGAAGTACATTTTTATTTGGAAGACTCTCCCTTAAAGGATAGAAAATTTCACATATTTATTTATTTATTTATTTATTTTCTTTTTGGTGATACCAGGGATCAAACTCAGGACCTTGTGCTTGCCGCATAAGCACTTATTCCACTGAGCTAGCTCCCTGGTTCCCAGATTTCACATTTTTAAAACTTAGTGTTGTTTTTCTGAACATAAACATCGACAAAGCATAGACTTTGTTAAATGGAGCATACTGTTATTATTACTTCTGAATCTTAGAGTCAGGTTGTATTTGCCTGTATACTGTTCTTCATCACTTTAAGTTTTTTTTAAGACTGTACAGTATTTCAAACATGCACAGAGGCAGAAGAAAAGATTATAGGAAGAGCTCTAGACAGTATATAATCAGATTGCTCTCCCCTGAGTGATCAACTGCTATTTCTTTTTCAAATTAGTTACATAGGAATTCTGTCTGTTACAATTTAACAAACCCACTTTTGGATATTTGATTTTTAGCTTCTTACTCTTCATGTACATGTCATAATTGTCAGTTTTGTTAATACGAGAGCTAGGTTTCTAGGTCACAGTTGCAGATTGGGGAAGTTCTTATACACATTGCTAAGTTTAACTTCATGTATGTTATGGCAGTTTTATATTTCATAAAAATGTGAGAATGTCTAGTTTTTAGTAAACTGAGATGTGAGTGAAAATGAATCTTACTCTGTTTTGTTCATTCTTAACATGTTAGTAGAGATGTTTGGAGAGGAAAAATGGAAGACTTTCAACATAGTGGAGACAGCAAATTTTGAGAGCAGGATGGCTGAAAGGTGGTTAAGGAAATAAGTTTTGGTTGGAAAGGAGGCCCCAAAAGAAGGGCAGCCCTGGGGATGAGTGGAGATAGGTGACCAGGCCAGTTTGAATTTTGTACGCTTAAAGTTGTCCTGCAAGGAAGAGTAGGTCATGATGCAGAAAGGAAGGAATGAGTTTGGTTGTTTTTATGGTGTTTTTAAATGGGAGGAAACTTTTTAAAAACTCAGTAAACTAAGATGTAAGGTACAAATTTACTAATGGGTTAATATTAGAAATGGGTTGAATGTTTTTGTGGATCCTTTTCTGAAAATTCTGAAGTAGTTTATGTTGTAGCCTGAATGTGGATTATTTTCTAAGGGTCCTTTCAAGCATAACTAAAAAACAACATGCTTGGTTCAGACAGAATACTGTTCTTTGAGTTCCTACATTCAAATGCTAAGTTCTTTGTTAATTTACATTAGGCCAGATTGACTGGGCTGCATTGGCTCAAGCTTGGATTGCCCAGAGAGAGGCTTCAGGACAGCAAAGCATAGTGGAACAACCTCCAGGAATGATGCCCAATGGACAAGAGATGTCTACAATGGAATCTGGTCCTAACAATCATGGGAATTTTCAAGGAGATTCAAACTTTAATAGGATGTGGCAACCAGGTTTGTTGTTTTCTAAATTTTAAGATGATTTTTAAAATAAAATGAAGATTAATAGTCAATTTATTTAGTTTTGCTTGTTTTATGACTTCTTGAAGTTAATGTTTGGTGAAGAACAGGCAGTCTTGGTCTAACCTTGATATTTTGTGGTTAAAATTATGCTGTGATCAGTATGCTGGCATTGTGGCTCTCAGTTTGACTCTTTTCTTGGTTCTTCATTCCTAGGCTGACAGGGGCTGGGAACACTGGAAACTTCACTTGGCACCTAGGGGAGAGAGCATTGTTTCTCTCGCAACCTCTAGCCTTTTCAGAAGCAGCACTGGCAGAGTAAAACATGTGTAGCCTCTAGTAAAAGGAAAATTGTGTTCCTGTGTGACAAGTCTGTCAGATATACTCTGCCCCTGTAATCCACCCACGTTTTTCTACCCTTTTTCTCAGATAGTAAAGACCTACAAATTATGTTTTCTTAAACATGATTTAGATTCCTGCATGCTAATACAGTTTTCTACGACTTGTGTTCTATTTTTAATAAGCACTTGAAAATGTAAAGGAATTTTGCATTTAAATATGCTTATAGTGAAGTCGATAGTCTCTTTTTCCTGTTAATGTTTACTGTTTTTTATAGTAGTATAACAGTGGAAAATACGAGAAGGAACCTCTAAACATCACTTTATTTTTTGTTTTTTATTTTTTTTGGCCAGTTCAGCTTGCTCTGAGGGCACTGCTGGTTTGGCATGTGGTGCAGGGGATCGAAACGCAATTCCCTAAGCTGGCGATCTGCCTAAGCTGGTGTTTTAGACCATTGAGCTATCTCGCCGGCCCCTAAACATCACTTTAAAAGAACAACAAATATTTCAGCTTAAGTACTGGGAAGTAAAAATTTCCCAAGTTTCAAAATACTTTGTTTCCCTAAATTCCAGTGTATAAATGGCTTGTCCTGCTCTCAACCCTAAACCCATCCCTTTTGACTCTTTGTGACCCTGGCAAGTTATTTATCCAATAATGTGCTTTAGATTCCTTTGCTGAAGTCAGCAAAATTAATACCTGATTGTTCCCTACCTCACAGGGATGTTGTGAGGATAAATGTGTTCATGGAAGAAAGAATTCACATAAAGTTCTGAGGTGGTTTTATGGTGTTATTATTGAACAAAAATAGAAAAACTTTAAAAAGTTGTTTTGGATTTTGTTGCATTCATTAAAAAATGTTGGACTTTTTTTCTTTTTATTTAGGTTATAAGTTAGAGTGGTATTAATTCCTTTGATTTGTAAGATACTTTAGTTAATTGCTTATTTTTAAGATACATAAAAGAAATTTGACCAAAAAGTCATAAGTTGTTTTTATAACATCTGTTTCTTTTCTGAAAAATACAGCTTTCTTGAGATCTTGAAAATTGTGTTGATTTTATTATAACCCCCTGTTGAATGTTTTTATGCCTAAATCCTAAATAGAATGGGGAATGCATCAGCAGCCCCCACACCCCCCTCCAGATCAGCCATGGATGCCACCAACACCAGGCCCAGTGGACATTGTACCTCCTTCTGAAGACAGCAACAGTCAGGACAGTGGGGAATTTGCCCCTGACAACAGGCATATATTTAACCAGAACAATCACAACTTTGGTGGACCACCCGATAATTTTGCAGTGGGGCCAGTGAACCAGTTTGACTATCAGGTGAAAGATATTTTGTTGCTTTAATACCATAGATGTGCACGTAATCCATTCTTTGGAAGTGTCTCATCAAGAATACCTAAGATACTTGTTTCAGTTTTCAGGGTTGTACAGTTAAACATATACAGCGTTGCAAAACATTTATTAATTTTTGACTATTAAAATCATCAGATGGGACTAGGGATATAGCTCAGCAGTGCAGCACCTGAGGCAAGTGTGAGATCCTGAGTTTTCATGGTACCAAAAAACTCCCCAGGTTTTTATTTGGGTTAGGAAAATGATGTTAAAGACTCCTTGGGAATACTTTCGGATACAATGAAAGATGTATACGTGAAAAGCTATCTGATGTTATATTTTCTAATTTCAAAATGATTTGAATGTTAAAGTTCAGAAAATACATACTACCAATAATAGCTTAGGGTTAAGACACGAAGAAGTGTGAACGTAGATCATCTTCCTAGCTGCAGTACCTCCTGGTGTGTAGTATTACGCCTTTTTCTTATGTTAATTTTCCATTCTGACATGGCATGTTAATGGAATTGTATGTCATTTCCTTTGTAACATCCAGTCCATTCCTAGGGACATAGAACTCTATGGAGACTAGTGATAAAATACGGGGCTTTATTATTTTAATATACTATGTAAAGATCTATCAAAATTACAGAATTACATGTCATTTTGAAATAACTACTGCAATTGTTACTTTATGAACTGAACTGTCAAAATTAAAAATTTTGAAATGTTCCATCTATCATTTCACTACTTTTGAGGTAGAATTGATAGTCACCTAGAGGCAGCAGTCTCGTAGTACATATTCAGATACTTGTGTACTCACTTGGAATACACATAACAGTTTTTGTTTCATTTATGAAGAAATGTAATGATAGGGTGCTTCTACTTACCCTAATTCTGGTTGGTGGATGCCATGCTAACAAGAGAAAGAAATTTGGGCAACTGGCTTTAGAAAAACCTCTGCAAATATCAAAAAATATTCACTATATCATGTTTCAGTAACTTTCTTTGGTTATTAATAAACATTGTGTAAGAATATAAAAGCAACTTGAGTTCACTACAGCTAGGAAGTTGCAGGCAACAAAAAATTCTCAGCTGGGTGTGGTGGCACATGTCTATAATCCTAGCACTTGGGAGGCTGAGGCAGGAGGATCACCGAGTTCAAGGCCAGCCTGTACTACAGAACTGAGACCCTGTCTCAAAAAACTCACAATAAAAAAATTATTAATGAAAAATATTTATTTGATGTCGGCGGTTGTGGGGATGATTTATAAAATAGATTCACAGTGAGTTTATTGTATAATACACATACACGTGTAGGTGTGTATTTGCATATATATAGTTACATATAGTCTTTATTTCTTGAAAATAACATATCAGCTGGCTTTTAGAAGGCTCTTTGCACTTTACACAGGCAGAAAGTGTCTAAAGAAAAGTAAGCCTAGGTTTTTGGGGCCACAGAAATACTCATGCAGAGTAGAACCATGGAATTCTTGGATTTGCTGCACACATGGATTTCTACTGTCCCAGTTCATAACACACGTGTGTCCCAGAGAGTATATTGTATTAAATTGAAGAAAAAATAAAATGCAATACTCTTTCAGCATGGGGCTGCTTTTGGTCCACCGCAAGGTGGATTTCATCCTCCTTATTGGCAACCAGGACCTCCAGGACCTCCAGCACCTCCCCAGAACCGAAGAGAAAGGCCATCATCATTCAGGGATCGGCAGCGGTCACCTATTGCACTTCCTGTGAAGCAGGAGCCTCCACAAATTGGTAGCTATTTAAGTAGTAAACCAAGTTGGCATGATTATCACTGTAAAAAAGATGTCTTATTTTCTTAAGTTGTTCTAATGCCTCTGATGTATTAAATGGTGATACTTTAAAATCCTGTCATATTAGGCCCGGCATGGTGGAATATGCCTATAATCCCAGAATTGGGAGGCTGAGGCAGGAGGATCATTGCAAATTTGGGAGGCCAGCCTGAGCTGCAGAGTGAATTCAAGGCCAGCCTGAAGTAAATTGTGAAACTGTCTCAAAAAGCCATAAATAAATCCCTGTCATTTTATAGTCATAAAATTAGAAAGATACTGTACTTCCTAAAATGTTTTGAAATTTTTTTCTTGCTCATAAGCTCTAGATTTTGTAGAAATGTATGTTTTCTTTCTTTACTTTTTTTTTTTTTTTTTTGCGGAACTGGGGATTGAACTCAGGCCGTTGCGCTTGCCAGGCAACTTATTCTACTGAGCCATCTCCCCAGCCCGAAATGTATGTCTTCATGACTAGTGTTTTTGTGTACACTTCATAAGTGTTGAAATTTTAGAATGTTAGGCAGATAAATATTTCCCCTTTTCAAAGCCTAAATATTCTGTCTTAGGTCTCTTTCACATTAAGTAAATCTGACACTGTTGCTAGCTTAGTTTTCCTTTGATTATTTCCCTTTCATAGGTATTTTTGGCAGAAAATTTTAATTTGTAATAACAGCTTTTTGACAGTAGCAAGTTCTATGTATGTGCCACTTTGTCTAGACAGCTCCAACTCATCCAGTGGATAAGAAAATTTAATTCTGTTCTTTTTATTTTTTAAAATATATTTTTATGTATTTAGTACAGATTCTGCAGGGTTTCACTACACAGATTGGACTCATAGTGATCCTCCTGTTTTCATCCTCCCAGGCTCTGGGATTAGAGGCTTGTGCTACCACACCCAGTCTCAGTCACTGTCTCAGCACTTTAATCTGCTGAGCTATCTGGTGGACCCTCTTAAGCCTGTTCTTTTAATTATGTTTTTTTTTTAAATTTTTTTAAGTTATGTTTTTTAATAGATTTTTTTTTAATGTTTCCTTTCTTTTTTTCTTTTTTTTTTTTTATTTTATGGTCAGCTCAGCCTACCCTGGGGGCGGGCCTGGCATGGCATGTGGTGCCGGGGATCAAACCGAGGTCCCTGCATGCTTGCCTAAGCAGACGCTTTAGACTACTGAGCTATCTCGCCAGCCCTTTAGTAGATGTTTGTTGTTACTGCTGTTTGAGAGTTTGTTTGTTTTGATGAGACAAGTTCTTGCTGTATGTTCCAAGCTGGCTTTGAACTCACCGTGTGGGCTAGGTCAGCCTCCAGTTGTATCCTTCTACCTTAGGCTCCCACGGAGCTGGCATCACAGGTGTATACCACCATGCCTGTTGAAGTCTGGTCTTTTTACATTTTAACAAGATTCTATCTTATTCTTTTTCCTTTTTTTTTTTTAAACCTACTGAATGACTTAGTGTGAAAGCAGACTTCTGCTTTTGTTTGTCTCTGCTCTGTTTTCATATTTTAGGAAGTAGGTTTTTTTTTTTAAATAAGAGTTTGGCTTTGCATTATCCCACATCAACATTTATTTTCACTGTGAGCACATCACTTTATCTGTTTGAGTGTGCATTTCCTCATCTACAAAATACTGCCATAACAGCAATGATCTTGAGGGCTTTTGTAAAGATTAAATAGTGTGACAGTTTAATGTGCTTTTATTGTATTCAGGCAGATTAATCATTAGAACTTGTTCCCTACTGTCAGAAGGGATCATTTTAAAGAAAGCATGATATTTAATGGAATTGTCCCTTTTTTTTTTCTCACAAGTTTGTAGAGAATTGGGAATAAGGAACTCATTTTTTTTTTCCCTGTATAAAACAGATGCAGTAAAACGCAGGACTCTTCCAGCTTGGATTCGTGAAGGTCTTGAAAAAATGGAACGTGAAAAGCAAAAGAAATTAGAAAAAGAAAGGATGGAACAGCAACGTTCACAGTTATCGAAAAAAGAAAAGAAGGCCACAGAAGATGCTGATGGAGGTGATGGCCCTCGTTTACCTCAGAGAAGTAAATTTGTAAGTAGAACCTATGTGAAGTTTATTGAAATAGACATTTTATCTTAGAGAAAAATATTAACGTTCCTGAGATAACGTGCAGTGAGCATATTGGGGTTTTTTTGGCGTGTATGCATATTGAGGGTGGAGATACCCTGTAGGCTTCTGGACAATATTACATATTCTTTCGTTGGTGTAGCTCATTCCCACATGGTGGATTATGTAAAGCAAAACTGTGTTGAATGATGATAGAGAGGAAACATGCCTTTTTTGAATATTTAAATATATACTTACACCTAAAGATGTAGTAAGTTTTGACATAGGCAGTGAAAATCAGTTGTTTTTTTTTTAATCAGTGTTTTGAATGTTTAAATCTTTATCAGTAAGATGGTGTGAGTGATTTAGGGATTCACCATTCCTTAATAATGGGATTCTAGCTGCTCTAGCAGCTGCATTAATGGTCAGAATACAAGACAGGGAGGAAATGGGTCTTCCAGACCATTTTCTTAGGATTGCCAAGAGTGACCATATGTTTAAAGAAGGGTCCTGTTTTTAGGATATTATATACATACTGAAATGTGAAACCATAC